AATCGATATTTTCAATCTTTAATTTCGAATCAAGAACGTAAGAACGACACACTAATCAGCAAGAACGGTCACTACCACTTCGTGTTGAATATCGAAGTAACCGTTCTCGAAGGTAGTCGTCTGTTTCGATAACGATCACGCGAGGACGACCGAGGCGAGTCGGTGCACTTGTTGATAAAAATCACAGAAAGAGAACAAGAGGACTCGTCGTTGCTTTCGTAAAATGCTCGAGATAAAGATAGAGACAGAGAGAGAGAGAGGAGAGAGAGAGAGAGAGAGAGAGGATCGTCGATACTTAATGCGAGGGATAATTTATATTCTTGACAAGTGGAAGCCTATCTCGAAGACTATTTCGCGATATTTCGTGACGGCGTGCATAATCCGATGACGAATCCAATCACGACGAATCAGCATTAATACATCCCTTGCCTGAACGGATTGCTATCGCCGGAGGCTTTCTGATCGACATTGCCTGGCCTCCTGAACGGATTCACATCTACTTGGCCTCCAGCCTGGGGCTCTTGCCCGTACGGTCTCTGCTGGGAGTACGCCGTGGGCTGTTGGTAATTGGCCGGTTGTTGCTCGTACATAGGCGGTTGCTCGTAACCGGTAGAAGGCTGCGTGTATCCCGCCGCGTTAATATTCTGCCCGTATCCGCTCTGATCGTAATTCTGGCCGGTTTGGTAATTTTGATCGTAACCTTGATCCACGTTCGTCTCCATACGCGTCTGGTTCAAATGGTTGCCCACCTCGCCCGAGAGGGGCCTCTGCTCCTGCAACACGTACGTCTGGTACTCTTTGTCGGGTGGGTTTTGCATGAGGACGTCGGCCTCGTCCTGGAACGGCTTGAAATCGTAGATGTGCCTCAAGTAAACGAGCACGGGGGCGTAGAGGAGGTTGGAGAAGGCTATGCCAACGTTGAGGGCCGTGAAACCGATCGCCTCGACGACGCCACCAGCTATGATAGGCCCCACAGCGTACGCCACGCTGTACGAGATGTCGGCTATGGCGTATATGCTGCCGTAGACCGAGACGTATCTCACGTCGACCAGATAGCCCAGAGTGGGCAGGAGCGCGGTGTCGATCAACGCTATACCGAAACAGATGCCGCACAACGGGATCATGAGGGCGCCGTAGCTGCTGCAGAACGGTATGATGAAGCAGCACATGCCCTCCAAAGCTAGGCCGGAGGCGGCCATCAGCCACTGCTGTTGGGGATACTGCTTGGCCATCTTGACGGTGATCATCACGCCGAACACGTGGGGGAAGAACGCCGGCAACCAGATCATCCCCATTTTCCAATTGTCCCGGGTTATGTTGTCCTCCATCCACAGGGAGATGGTCGGCTCGAGGAAGGCCAACGCGACGTTCGACATCATCAGGGCGCCCGCGCATACGGCTATGTACGGGTCCATGAGGAGCCGCCAGATCGGTATCGTTTGGCGCGTCTCCCCCTGCCTCTGCTTCACCTGCTCCTTGATCGGCTTCATCACGAGGAGGAGCATCACGCCGTCGGCCAGACTGATGAAAGCAAGGATCAGGAAGGGGACCTCTTTGCCCGCGAATTGGTAGAGGGCGCCGCCGAACGGTGGCGCCACCAGGCAGCCGAAACTGATGAAGGCCAAGGCGATGCCGAGGGCCTTCGATCGTTCAGCCTCCTCCGTGTAGCGGTCGGCGATCATGGCCAGGCCGCTGGTGTCGGCGAACGCGGAGCCGACGCCCTGCAGGCTTCTCGCGAAGAAGAGGACCCCGTAGCTCCGCCCGCACGCGAAAACGGCGGTTGACAGGAACATGATGCAGAGCCCTATCATCATGGGTATGTCGTAACCGATCCTGTCTATCAGCGCGCCCGAGAACGGGTTCACCATCAGCTGTACTATGGCCTTCGAGGCGAACAACACCCCCGTGGCTGAATCTTGGCCGTGGTGGGACGGCGCCCCCGTCGTGTTCGACTCTTCCTCGACGTCGCCGAACGCGCCCACGTACTTCAGGTAATCGGGTATGATAGGCACTATCACCATGTAAAGCATGTTGTCGAGCAGCAACGCTATCGAAACGATAATCAGTACCAACTTTCGCTGAGCCTTCGGCTCCTGCAACTTGGCCCACACTATCTCCTTGAGCTCGCTCAGCTCAATGTTGAGTATCGGTATGGTCGTCATGGTGGCGGCCGGTATCTAGGTATATCCTTTTAACAGAGCAGGGACGTCCTCCTCGGTGTCTAGCGAGAGGGACTAAATCACGCGATCACTTGATGCGACCTCGGGAGTGATCGTGACGAAGGAATCGTCGCGATTGGGGCGGCGCGCATCAGGCCGGGCCGGGGGTAACCTACAACAGATCACCGAATTGGCACGGTTAACTCGAAATCGAAATCATCGCGCGGACATGTTTGTTTTACCGATATATACTTTTTCTTTCTTCCTTTTTCTCTTTAATCTAGCTTTGCTAATCGATTCGATATATAGCGAAAGAATTCTCGTTTCTTTTTCCTCTTTTTTTCGAGAAATCGGAGAAAGAAAGGGGAGCCCTGACCCGGCCTGATCGGTTTTCCACCGATTCGTTCAAACCCCAAAACCGACGCGACTTTTCGCGATCGTCGAGTGTGTCGATCATCTTCGTGCATCGATGATTTCGTTTGTCGCTCGTTGTTTCTCGTCATCAACGCGTGCAGTCGATTTCCTTCGCTTGTGGCGGGTACAGAAGTGAACATGACACCGGGTGGAGGCTCCCCCTCGACAAGGCAGCACGATCTGTATACCTAGGCTACCTATGCCTGGTACTGCGTATCGTGTTACGAAGAGATAAAAACACGGGGGTCTCGAAACGAGGGTGAAGGTCGAGTTGGTGTGTATGGCTTTATTCTATAAATGGGGCGCGTGGTAATTAATTCAACGAACCTTGCTGGTCAAGGGAAGAAAACACGATGGGAAAAAACAAATCTTATTTATCGATATATCTCGAATTTTTCGTTCAAAAATGAAACGATACAAAATCATAAAAATTGATTTTCCATCCATGATTCAAAGTGTATACGAATAACAGTCGACAAGAGAAGAAACAAAGTGTTCCAAATTGTATTACACATATACGCGTATTGTTTAAAATAAAGAAGATGTAAATTAGTCATTGATCAAGCGTTGTATCTCCGCCGAGAATAGAACGGATCAATTATTTCCGTTGAAACGATTCATTCGGTAAACTGACATCCCTCCAAACATCGTTCGATGCGTGTCCGCACCCTCGTTTATTAATTACGATGACTGGTCGCCGCGCGGGGACGCCGCTTAACTTCGTCAACGATCGTAACGAGGGCCTCCATGGACGTGCACGAGGGGAGGGCGCTGTGGACCGGGGAAAATTCGTAAACTTACCGGAGTTATTGGCGAATTTCTGCCTGAGGGAAGTGGCGAGGCGTTGGGGACCCGCCAAACTAGGAAGTCCGGCGAACAAACTGCTCAGTTTGGAGGCGACGTCCGGTCCGACCTCGGCCCTCGAGCCGTTCACCGACTCCTTAGCTTCTTGCGTCCCCGGGCCCTCCACCTTTTCAGCCGAATTTCTAACCGAGCCTGAAACAAATATCGTTCGCACAATTATTCGATTATTCGAGAGGGGAAATATAACAACACGTGGAATTGTGCATCCCAATGAAAGCTGAGCGATGAAACTGTGCGAATTACTTGCAACAATCTAAGTAGTGTAATAGTATAAAGAAAAAGAATTTCGATCAAATGCCGGTTCTAGACTGGTACAATTTCAAGATATAAAAATTATTTCGCGTATTTCTTTTGTTCTTCGTTTTTGTAACACTTGCGTTAATAAAGAAGAATAGTATTTAAAAAAGGATCGAAACGTGTAAAGGTGGTACACTTTCCTTGGTAAATTTCGTTGAAGAGAAAAATTGCAAAATCGAATTGGAATAGGAAACACGTACGATTGATGATAATAATCTCGAAATGCCGCGAAAGGAAAGGGAAAAAAGACAGAAGAAGAAAAGGAAAGGACGATAATTTCCAGGGAAGTAATCAAAAAGTTGTCGGTCTTTAGCATGTTCCACCTATAGCGTGCAAGGCAATAATTTTGTCCATCTGTTCCACGAAACCGGCACAATTTTTCCTAACCTATCCATTATCTTATATACGCGTCGAACTCTCTGACCAATCTATATTTAGAGTTTAAACATCTATCTATAACAGTCCCTATCCTCTATATACATACAACTCACGTCCCAAGAAGAATGCACGTTACACATGTGCCCGACTTCCCAAGGTAATTTCCCATCATTTGCCATGTAGCAATATCATTATTTTCAACGGTATCATTCGCTGGCCTTATATTATTATTCCCCATTATCCATTTAACATTCAAACAAAACGGCCGTTCCTCGATCAATTTTCCAACAATTCCAAATTTATTTACATTTCCCTTTAAAAATCCCCATATTTCCCCAACAACAATTTAACCCTACGCATCACGCAAATTACATAACTCTCTCCCGACGTTCTGACCGACATAAAAATCCTCCGAGTATACTGCATACGTCTATATATACGTCTCCAAATACGCTGCAGTCCATCATCACCACATTTTTCGAAATAAAAATACTCGAATCCAACATCCAACGAATACCTTGCGTTGCAAACAATTGCCTACACACGTATATTTTCCTCGTCCCCTCCTCCCTCCCCTTCCCCTCCCCCCCTCCCTCCCCTCCCCCTTGGATAGAACGTAACCTGGAACGTAATCGGGTGATGCGAGTACATTCGACGAAAACCTAAACCTAAAGTGAGCTTAAACGAGAATGAAACGAAATGAACGAATCGAATGGAAAAGAAGTCAGAGGTGGTTACTTACTGAGACCGAAGGGCTCCCGATGGCAGGGGCGTCTCGGCGTGTCTCTCCGTTGGGGTAGCTTTGGAACGTCTGCCCTCGAAGTTCTCCCCGCCACCGGCTTGCACGCTTACCCTCTTCTTCCCGTCCCAATCAACCCCCCCCCCCATCGAGGAGGAGGCAGAGTGGCAGGGCGCAGCCGCGGTTTCCAGGATCCTGGGATTGGCCGCTGCCGTGCGTCAACCCCCAAACCCTCCACCATCGCATCCGCAACCCCCGCTCGCCGCCTCGGTGGAGGGAGGAGGAGGAGGAGGAGGAAGGGAGAACCAGGTATAACGACGGCGGTCGATGCTGCGCGGTATTTCTAGCGAGGCAGGTCGATATGAGGCTCACCTGTGCAAACGTGGGCTGCTTGTGTCGCTGCCTGGCCTGGCTCGGAGGAGGAAAAAAAGGGGTGAAAGCGTGGCGAACACGCGAGACGCACCGTGTGTGTGCCTTCCTCCGATTTAGCGACGATTATTTCGAGCGGTTGGTTTCAGGCAAGGTCCTCTCTTAAGGTGGAGGTGTTGCCCGTTGTTGGGTAACGTTGGTCGGTCGTCCAGAGAGGTAAGATTGTTGGATAATTAGGATTTATAATGTAATAATAGTTGGTTCATTAAGATTTAACGAATCAGTTTATTTTTGCTCGTTCGTGCAATATTTAAGCCATTATAATGTTTATACGTATTGTGGAATAAATATTTTATATTTATCCTTTGAAAAGAATAATTTTAATTTAGTTTTCAATAATACGATTATGTGGATTTCCTTTTTTAATTGGACTTTTTTTCTGGTTCGGTAAATTATTTTTCTATAATTAATTTAATTGTTAGAATGAATTATATGTACAATCGCTCCGTTTTCTTAATAGTTAATGGATCGTGGTAAAGATTCAAAGGGCTAAGATTATCAAAACGCATAGTATTTTCTTTAATCAGATGTTTGGTTTGTGTAAATTGGCTCCATTTAATTCTATGGAGCTATCTCTATATTGTTTTGATCTCGTTTTTTTTTTTCACTTACACGTGTATTGGAACAAATTAAACTATGAACTTGTCCCATCTGTGGCTATACCTGTCTATGTTATTTTCTATTTGATATTGGGGGTTTGATGAAATTGCTGATTCTATTTCAATTTTCCATTGTTCTGTCATCGTTGGAATTTGTTAATGGATATTGTTAAATATTTTTGATTGAGTAGAATATATTATATTATGTAATGACATAATTCAAATACTTATTATTCGTACGTCTTAATGAATTTCAAAATTACGAACTTAATCTATAAAAATTATAAATAAAATATTACACATAAATTCCTTGTAAATCGTCTCTTCCTGTTATCAATAATTTAATATCATCTCGATCAATCTGGTGGACTCAATCTGTTCGAGTGATTTGTTGTCAACAAATTTTTATGTATCTCGATCCAAAAGTATGCACAGATATTATCGATCCCCTTCTCTTGCCAACCGGTGTACTCTCACGCTTCTCGGCTAAGACTATTTAACGGAACACGAGGCTGAAAATACACGAGCCAGGAAACTGGTAAAGCTTCTCGCGAAAGTTGGTTACGAATCCTCTTCCCGTGGTCGAACCGTATCTGATTACCTGCAAATTAAAATACGAGTGTCGATGAATTGCTAAACGTACTTACACCGAAAGTTGTTTCATTGGAATCATCCTTTCAATGCTTGATTAAATTAACCCTTAACCGAGAAGTTATCCCTCTCATTATTACACTATTTTTGGGGAAAAAAGATATTGCAAATATGAAACGAGAATGAAATGGAATAAATGTAAAAGGAGGAAAGAGAAAGAATTAAATTTTTAAAATAAGGAAGAAAATACTTGATTGGTGGATACGTTGGGAAAATTTTTGTTAATTCTGAGAATTCATGAACAACGTTTTTCAAAATATATATTCTATTTGATATTTGCTTCCTCTGGAAAAAGGTTTATTTATAAATTTAATTTCGTGTTTCGTTTTTTCTCTCTTTTCTATTCCCATTCTAATGAATGTACATCTCAGAAACTTAATAATTTTTAATTTTAAAAGATAATTAGAAATAAGAAAAAGTAAAGAATCTTCTGTGTGCCAATTAAAACTAATGTACTAGCGTTAAAAGTACACAACTTTCTCTCTAGATGCTTTAATATAAAATTAGTAACCGTCCATTCAGATACCACGTATGAAAAAGTATTTTCAAGATTGAATTTTATATAATTTATGAAAGGCAAAGGAGTGCGTTTTCTTTTCTTTTTTTTTTTTTTTCTTGAAAAAAATAATTGAATTCCATACAACTTACGTATTCCATTGTGATTCGTAACAGTGAAGATAAAAATGCAAGATGAAATTCACTTTTTCAAATATTTTTTACATATTTCATCAAAATATGGAAAAGAATCTTTTAAGGAAAGGATCGAAATAATTCTAATTTCCATGCAAATTTTCGAATCGAAGAATTTTCAAATTTCAATTAACTTGCAATTATTAAAGATCCACAATAATTTATTGAGAATCTTAAAAAACATTGCAAAATTAGCTTAGAAACATACGTTAAATTATTATCTTATGATTGATTAAATAAAGAATTTTTCCAGTTTTCTCAACAAATTTGAATATCGAATAAAATTATTTTAATCCCATTCGATCTTATATTTTTTAAACGATCTCTTCTGAATTTTTAGAATTTCACTTGACATTAAAAATGGAACATGTTCTATCCTATATTAAATACGAACATATTTTCGCATCAGAGAGATGGATGGATCCTTCTCGTGGAAATTCGTTCTGTTACACTCTGCCACTCTGCTCGTTGAAGTTTCCAGTAATAGGAGAGTTGATCTCTCTGAAGAGACATCGTTGAAATTTCCTCAAAAGAAAAAAAGAAATATCATCGTTCGATTCGATAAACGTAACAATTTTAAACCGAAAATTATAACGAATAAATTTTTACATTTAAAATTTTCATTGTGTCAGTGAATAAAGAAATGACACACGAATAACCAAATCGCAATTAATCGTCAATTTTTCAATATCTATATTTTCATATTATTATTTCTTCATTTTCTTTTTACTCTTCAAAAAAAAAAAAAAAGAAAGAATCACAGTGTCACAAAATTTCGATTACTCCTTATTTACAATCCTGATTCCGCCTGATTCGCAGACACTGTTCATTGTTCACAGCTAGATTGCGCGGTTTACATTCAATGAACTTACAGCAGCGTGAAACAAAGTTGTCTTCTTTCAATCGGCCGATTTAATCAGCTTGGAAAGACCTCCGTGCACCGTGGAATTTCTCACATTAGCTGTTCGTGCCTCGGTGCGGAGAGCCTCTCGACTATCTCATGATTTATGGCCGTCACTCTTAACCCGTAATTTCACAGTTAATCGAATCAATGTATAACAAAATTGTGATTACGTACGTACCTTTATTTATTTATAAACATTTATGCTACCACATAAATAAGATGGAACAGAGTATTTTTTCGTCGTGAGAATTTTTTAATTATTTAATTCGTTTGATTTTAAAACTTTTAAAATTGGTTGAACTGTATTATTAACAAAAAAAAAGAAAAAAAGAAGTAGAGAAACTGCGAAATTTTAATTAACGAATTTATAAAGTTTTGAGTAATGAACCGTGATCGTCAAAAGTTTTCCGCCTCGGATGGAGAGTTGGAGATAGAAATGGAGTTATTTCATTTGATACGAACTTAAATTGCTCGTGACTTAATAATTAACTAAATCAATTGATATTTTTGTGTTCGTTTTAGCCTCTAATATCGACTCTTCAAAGATGTTTCACAATTAACGCTATTTCAAAAAGAAAAAGAGGCTATTTTTCAAATAATAAGACACGATATTAAGCACTTTCGAAGAAAAATTGAATATTTTCTGTCGAATTCGAAAAATTTCACGAGTATCTCTTACAAGAGATTCGTTTACATAATTTTCATTAATTTTATTGAAATAGATCGGAAAATAGCATCAATTTTTTGAACGAACCATTATAACTTGCTAATAGTACAATAGAATCTCCATTATCTGAAAATCAAGCTTCTTTTCCTAATCTAAAAAGAAGAAATCAAATCAAGAATCTTCATCTTCGTATCACTTTCAATGCATTCCTCCACCAATCTTTCTCATCGTAATTTTTATCATCCAATTTCTATGATGTTTCATCGCATTCCTTGAGCAACCTTTCCATTCGTTAATTTCCTCGAATTCACGAAGCAAAAGCTTTCTCTTACATCATTAATACATCATTAATACAAGCGAAAATAGTACACAGATTTCATAACAAAGTCTTCGAATTTAATTAAAATATTCGATGGACGAAAACTTCTGCATCTACGATGAAGAAAACTAAATCGTCATTAGCATAATCTATATCTACAAAAAAAAAAAAAAGATAATCATAATATTCATGATTCACAAAATCACCCTGGTGATCGTCACATTATATTGCATTATCCAAATATCCCTCCTCCTTGGAAAGGAATTTCGAAATGCTGAATCAAATTAATGAGTGAATCCTTGTACAAGCAATCGGATAAATAATCCAATAATCTTTGCCAGTGAATGGAATAATAGGTATGCAAATGTTCCACGAACCGGTCGTAATTTTGTTTTACGACGGTAAGAAGATGGGCTGTGTAACCCTTCCTCGAGTTTTATAACCGAAATCTTGGCCGAAATCTCACCGCGATGAGATGAGAAGGCGGCGTTAACCGATTTTAATCGCGACAATTATGTCCACACGATATAAAACTCGACGTCCACGTGTTAATGAATCGACGATGGTACGATGAAATATAAAAATATTACAATGTTGCAGAGATTAAAAGTACGATTCCTGCTCAAGAGGGATCCTTCCTTGATGATAATCCATTTTGAAAGGGAATGTTAGAAGTTGAAATATAGAAATTGTTTTATAGATAAATTATTTAGACTTGATATTTCGAATTAACAAACGTTAATTGTTAATTGTTAATTGTTGGTAATATTATGAAATGAACACTGCTAAATTAAAAATTAGATATACGTACGATGCAATTTATCTTGGTTGTTGATGATTGTTGATAAAGTTGAGAGATTACGTTCAGAGTTAATTTGAAATTATTATTTCATGAAAAATTATTGTTGTTGAATGTTATTTTCACTTTCTAAAATTCTATTGTTATTTATTTACTTACTTGATTGATTGGAATACAATATTGTATTTTGTGTCTTTATAATGAATCGTTTTAATTACACTGTTTCCTCTAATTAATAAGTGTATAAAATCTTCAAATTACTACTTATTATTGAATTTTAAATAACACTCACTATTACTTTCCTCTCAGCTAACAAGCTTAGTCGCTAATTTTCAATTTTATCTTGATATAAAATTATAATTTCTCAATTTATGTTAACGGCCAATATTATTTATTATTTTACTACTAATGTGAAAAAAAAAAACTTGTTTCGAAAGAAACTTGATACTATAATATAATATTTTTTTTTTGCAATAAAATATTTAAATAAAACACATATTTAACAAAGTATACAATTTAATTTGATTGCGAGATCAAATGATTATTTTCAGTGATTGAATCGAAATTTTTTCACGAAATTTTTACTCGAACCAACATTAATCTCGATCAATCGTAATTGCATGTATTAATTATAACGATTATTTTCTATCGTACATCGAATAACGTTCAATTTAATAAAAAAAAAAAAAAAATCGAATAACACGAAGTGAAATCATGCGTGTGCAAGAAATTAATAGCAAGATTTCACTGGTGTAATATTTAGAAAAAGTTCATTAGTGCTAACGAAGCGAGATTTCACGTGTGTTGTGAGAATTTAAGATTAATTCATCATCTATAATAAATCTTACTTATCTGGAATATAATTAAATGTCACATCGTAAGATTACCAACAATGGACATTTTTCCATTATTCGTCGAATTAAATCTAACTTTTTAATCTTTACGTTTTCATTAAAAGAAATTAAAACGGCAACGAGATAAAAAAAATATCTATTAAAATTAATTAATTGCTTCTTTTATAAAAAAAAAATAGAAAAAGATTAATAAACAGCGCTTTTTTTATGATAACGAATTACAAAACTATTAACTTTCGATATTATGAAAAATTAGAATATATATATATATATATAGATAAATAAAATTGTTTTAACAATTTATATAAAATATCCAATAAATGCAACAAAGATATATTTTCTTTCTTTTATTTTTCTCAACAATCTATCCTAAAAAAAAAAAAAATAAATACACAGATAAACAAGATATATCTTATTCGATGAAACTTGTAATAAAATATTTTTATGATTATATTCAAAATCTCAATATTTCAAACAATGAATGGAATTTGGAATTCGAAACACGATCGAGAAAAATCGATGCTAAGAAAAAAGAGACGTAATAATTTTCTTCCCCTATCAATGCAAGGTGATAATAACAAGAAGAAGCCGTTATTAGATTAATAAAACTGACAGTTTTTGAACGACTTGCAATACGATTACGTAGACAAGATAATTTTCAAGATGCCACTCATACAGACATTTAATTCGATTCTCTGTATAAATATTTCCCTTCTCGAAATTAACGACCATCATCATTTTACTTTACAATAATCGAATCCACCAACTAACTGTTCAAAAAAAAAAAAAAAGAATCTGCAAATCATCGAAATATTCAAACATTATTTTCACATTGGATTGGAGTACAAGGAAAAGAAAAAAAAAAAAGAAAAAACTCGAACCAATCCGATCCAGATAGAGAAAGAGTGTAGGGGGTTACACGCCACGATGGGCGACGAGATGAGTCACGTTCCAGGCGTTGCGAAATTCTTCTCCGCGAGGAGAAGGCTTTAAGAAGAAAGGAAGAGAAAGGAAGGAGAGGGGAAGGAAAAAGAGACGATTCGGAACGTTTCAGGTCGAAACGTGGTCGCGTGGAGGCGAGCGGCCCGTGTAATTCGGTTCTGTACGATCGAATTCACTTTCAGCCACTGAATGGGTCGACACAGCGCCAAATCTTTCGCAAAATCTCGTTACAACGAAAAGAGGGAACGTAATCCTGCAGGATTTTTACCGGCCTCTCCGCTCGATCCGGCATGTACACATTTGCCTGTAAACTGTTTGTCGTTTCGTAAAAATACGAGAAACCTTTCATAATGTATTACTTTTTGTCATTGAGTCAATCATTGAAAAGTCATTTTTCATCGATTTGTAAAGAAGTTCTTCGTTTACACGCAATTTCACTGATCGAGAAACGCGGTCTAAACTTATTTTTCATTGATGTTAATAAAATGTAGAATGGTTTTCCACGGTGAGGAATTAATTCTTTAAATAACCCCTTTTTAAAACCGTTTCACTTTGCAAATAAGTGAATACGTTTAAAAAATTGAAAATTGAAATGTAAGTGAATTTGATAAATCCCTGGACGGGATGAAAATAGCTGGAGAGAATAAAATTTCATCAATCCGTTTTCAAATTCAAATTTCAATTTGCCCGAATTCGCAGAAATACAACAACTATAATATCGTATAAAATATGATCTCCAACCTCGACCAGACATCTAAAATGAACAACTTCAAATTAAAGATCTTCTTGACGAGCTCAGTTTCAATAATAATTGCCCATGACTGCTTGTGCTAACTCGACGAAAAGTTTAAACGGAGAGAGAGAGAGAGAGAGAGAGATTGTTGCTTCCTTTTTGAGATGAAGACATCGCGATAAGAGGCGAATATTCGAAGGTGTATACAATTCAAAGGCAACGAAGCGAATGAATTTAGAGAAATTTGAAGCATTTTGAGCGAGGCGAGGATTAAACTGGTGGCAGTTGAACAATGGTGGCGAGAGGAAACGTATTTTGGGCCACGGAACGAGATTATGGGAACCTGGATGAGGTAAGAGAGTGGCATTACGGATACGAGAGGAGAGAAGGCGCAACAGGAGAATATAAATCGCCGCGCGTCTGGCGTTTTTCCTGGCGCAATTAAAAACTGGGACAAGCAGCGCCTCCCTCGCCTTTCCCAGCTACTAACGAAAAATCCTGCGGAAGAAAAAAATGGAGGCGGTTGCACCACGTGAGAACACCACGTGGTGATCCCATTTTCAGCAGAAGCTGATTCCTTTTCTCTCTCTCTCTCTCTTATTTCTGTACCATCCTTCTTGTCGACTTTTTGTTTTTGCCTTCCCTAATTTTATACACATTGATGTCTTCGTCTGCGCGTTAATTCTCTTCCGTTCCCTCGATCGAAAGAAGAACAATGAAATTTGACAGAAAAAACTGTGTCTCTGTGAACGAGAAAAAAAAGGAGGGAAAGAAGTAATTGTCTCATTGAGTTTGAATATCATGGAGAGATACGAAGAATCGATAAGATAAAGTGTATTATTTATTTTCCTGCTCCTTCTTGTCCCATATTTCTTTGTCAAGAAATACTTTGCATCGCTTGTTGACTTAAATATGATAATTATTGGCTCGCATCGAACGAGGAATTTTGAAACGAGGATCTCGTTGAACAAACATTTCCTTGCGAAAATTTATTGCGCCTCTCGATTAAGAGGCGGATTCCTGCAGGCAACTTATTTCTGAAACACTGGAATTCCTTGAACATTTGGCGAATCAACAAGAGAGGTCTTACTGATTAAAGAACATGTCGCAGTTTAGAACTGCTTTCTAAGCTGCAATCACGATAACTGCAATTTACACTCCCAAGTGACGGATGCATTTGACTTGTAAATTCGTGCAATTTAAATTACAGAGCCGAGCCGACTTTCTAACAGATTCGAAGAAATTTTTTACGACGTTCGTTTGCGGTGTTTAAGTAAGTTTCAACAAGAATACATACTCTTTTTTTCTTTTTTTTAAAAACTAATCATCGGTATATAATCAGTTTGATTCGACATTAATCCTCTCTTCTTTCCTCTTATGAAATGAAGAAATCGAGTGAAACTTGAATTAATAATAATAAGAAACGTTATCAATGTGACGGCTCGATAAGAAAGAAATTGCGAATGAGCGATAAGATTTTGACCATAGTCAAAAACATACTTTTCATTTCGCATTATTGAATTACTACTAATTTATCTTATATTTTAAACAACGTGTATGCAAAATACACGTTCGAACGTGGAAAAATTTTCCATCGACCGGTATACCGAAGAATATATTCTCCTTTCAACGCCCTATCGCGCAAGCGAACGTGCCTTCGAACGTGTGTTCCTCGACGAGAGGAAAAGAAAAAAATGAAATGAGGTAAAAAAAAGAAGAAACAAAACACTCGTCCAAGTTGATCCGAGTCGGAAGAGGAAAGAGAAAAATCGGCCCCCTCGTCGTTCCAACGTCTGCCACCCGCGTGATTCTCACCACCCCCCTCCCCATGCAACAAGGGAGGGGGTCTGGGCTGGTGGAGGGGGAGGGTTACGAGGGAGATGAAACGAGTCCCTCTGTTTGATCCGCAAACACTGTAATTGCCTAGAATATTATATTAGGTAGGTGGTGGTGGATAACGGGGGGTGGATACGGAGGTGGCATGAAAAGAGAGACAGCAGGGTTGACGGCACCCCGGCGAGCAACGAATACTGCGGAACAATAATTTATTTTAGTTTCACGGAAGGGAGGCACGCTGCCTGTGGCAGGTATGCATTAAAGAGTTGCACGCGTTTTTCCTTTCTGCAGCCTCCCCCTTCCTTCACCCGCCCCCGCTTCTCGCATCTTTTGTCCCCGCGTGAATCGCGAATAGTTTGCTCGTTCCAGCGAGCGAGAAGCCTTCTCTCGCCGCTTTTCACCGAGTTTCGTCTTTGAAAAGTCTCTTCTTTTCTTTTTTTTTGTTGAAAATTTTTTGACGTTCGATGAATAAACCCTGATCGGGTTTATATATCCGATGGATTGAACAACAATTCTCGTTAAATTAAATCCAAATCTATAATTATTTAATATATACATATGGATCGAGAATATATTCACACGTTCGATTGTGAATATATATGATAAAAATTGAGAAAAGTTTCAAAACAATTGCAAAAAAAGAAAAAATAATGAAAAAAATGACGCGTCAAAAGAGTGACGATAAGTTCAACCCCGCCTTCCTCCTAAGTTTCTTCTTTTCGCGGAACGTAACGATCATTTACTATGAAGATTGTGTTTACATCAACGATATAGGTAAGCGCGCTTACGTAAAACCCCATTAGTCGGCCGACAGGCGATTACCATCGTCGCGATGTAATCGAGTCAGTCTTTGTTGGTATTATCGAATTAACGGAACGAGATTCGATGTAATGGATAGTTTCGTAATCAGTTAACACACGATTTAATTTTGGGCCCGATTGATCATTAGGATCGCGTACGAGAGGGATCTGGCTCGAGACGTTGATGATACATTTTTTTCCTTTTTTTTTTTTTTAACTACGATATCGACCGAGACGTATACACCATCGGTTAAACAGAATCACGATCGTGCTCGCGTTCGCGAGCACGTCGAATGCTCGTTTAGTTCTATCCCCACTTTTCTGACGCAATAAGTGTGAAGACCCTTCTTTGCTTTACCGACGGATCATAAAGTGAAAGTTAATTAAGTCGAGACGTTCGAATCTTCATTTTGCACGGTTCTTGTTCATTGTACGCATCCGCTTTATGAGAATATTCGAGGAACACTATCAAGGAACGTGGTTTTTTTTTATTCTGAAGAGGATAAATGTTTTATATATATATAATACGGTAATTATTGATCAAATTGCAAGCAATGGAAAGTTAATAATTATTTATCGTAGAAATTCGAGAGTTATGATAAATTAAAAGATGGAAAGTATAAGAAAGTATAACAAATTTTATTATTGTTATAATTAAAAATTATTTCAAATTAATGTTGCTCTATTTTGATCATATTATACGTTTATATTCAATCTTTCTTCTCAAAAGTAAGCAGTTTTACAAACGGAAACCTATCAAAGTTTCCTGTTTTCCGGAGACTTCAATTCTCGTAATACGTAACTTATTTCAGCCCCTTATCTTTCTTTCTTACCCCCAATTACTTCCATTTATTCGTTGTTTCCGTATGGTAATTTTCTTTTAAATCAATCTATTCTTCATTTAAAAATCACAACAATAGAAAATTATAAAACACGATTGAATAAATCACGAGACTAGAGAGTCAAGTCCAAGGAATTTTTAAAACGTGTTCATGTTATAACACGTGATGAATTAACGATCGCCTTAGCAGACGTAATAAATACCAATGTCAATACTAATTACTCTTACGACAAAAATGACAATGACACGCGCATACCTCGTTGAATTAATTTTATTCATTAACCATCGTCGTTTATTTTTAATTCTTAACATTATTTATTGAGTCTTAATTGACGGTGTTATTTTGGGAAAAAATAATTTAATTAAATGATTATCGTGTTTTTAATAATTTACGATTATTGGAAAGCATTGAATTTCTTTGCTAATAAAAATATTCGATTTTTAAAAAATACGAAGACACGTTTTTAAAAACTGGAATTTTGTTTTATTTTT